TCTCTCTCTCTCTCTCTGCCTGCTTGTGATTTCTCTCTGTGTGTGTCAAATAAATAAAATCTTTTTTAAATTTTAAAAAAATGTTTATTTGCTTATTTACTTGAGTGTTATGGCTTAAACCAGGGCTGTGAGACCTGAAACGGAGATGCAAGAGGTGGGGAGCCAGCCCTTCGCACCCGGCCGCTTGGGGGTGCGCGGGGCCCAGGTTAGATCACCGCCGCTTTACGTCTTAGAGGCGTGGCCGCGTCCAGGACCGTTTCCCGGTTCCCAGTTCGCCGGGGCCAGGCTGCGCTCCAGCCTTAGCTTAAAAATGCTGCAGTCCAGCACCGCCTTTTCTGTTTTATCTTTGTTCCCTGCCCGCCCGCCCGCCCGCTCCCCTCACCCCTACACACCCCACGGCTGGTTGGCTCGGACATTTGGTCGGTTACCGCGGGAAAGCCCCCGTCTCAGCGCGGAGCTGCGGTCTTGCTGCCGCGCCTCGCTCTTTCTTCTTCCTCTCCCGTTCTCGCACCTTCCTCTCTTTCCCCCTCTCTTCCTTTTCTATCCATGGAAAGTCGACCTCGCGTTTCTCAAACGCACCTATGCGACCCAGGCCCACGCCGAAGCTTCACTCCCAGATCCCTCCGCGAAGGCGCGGGCGGGCGCGCGGGCGGGGGCGTGCGCGCGGGCGGGCGTGCGCGCGGGTGGTGTGCGGGGAGACGCGCACGTGGAGCCTCGGCGAGCTCGCGGCCCCAGCGGGCCTTGGAGGGAAGCGCAGCCTGACCCGGGGGTCCCCGGGGCTTCCGAGTAGGCGCCAGTGCAGTTCCTGAGGCGCCCACGCCACAGCGGAGCCTGCTGGCTAAGGGTAGGAGAGTGACTCTGTGTCTGTGTATGTGTGTATGTGTGGGTGGTGTGGGGACTCGCGGACGCGCACGCGCGCGCAGGACAGTTGAGTAAGGAGGAGTGAGCTCCTACAATCCGGAGGAGCGGGAGGAGGAGAAGGAAATGTGGGAAACATTTGAAGGGACATAGCTTAGTATCAGAGCTAGATATATTCAGAGAAGTGGTGAGGGACAGATACCCACATGGTGGTAAGGTCAGTAGTGGGGCACTGAATCGCAGTCAGGTGGGATGTATGGGGGAAGGAACTTGGCCCATGAGAAGCAGTTGGCCATTATACTCTAATAGAAAACAAAAAATAGTGACATCAGTGCAAATAGAAGGGTTGGAAGCGCCAAGAGCCCATCCCTAAACAGAAGCACCAAAAAGATCAGCGTCAGAATTGACTTTGTGGGAACTCTAGAAAGTAGTTGCAGGTTTGCAGCAACCCAGGAACTCTTGATCAAGAAAAAGAGGACTTAAACACAGCATAATGGGGACATCACTAGCAACCTTAAAGGAATAAAAGAGATCATAAAACTATGAACAATGTATGCTAACAAACCTAAATAAAACAGACAAATTCCTTAGAAACAGACAACCTACCTAAACTGACTCAAAGAAAAAAAAAGGGGGGGGATGCGAACAGACTTATAACAAAAGATTGAATCGGTCCTCAAAACTTCCTGACTGAAGAAAAGTCCAGGACCAGATGGCTTCACTAGTGACTTGTATCAAATGTTTAAAGAACAATTAACACCAATCCTTCTCTAGCTCTCCTAAGAAATAGAATATTGAACACTTCCTAACTCATTTGATGGGGCCAACATTACCCTGATACCAAAATTGGGCGAAAACATTACAAGAAAAGAAAACTATAGACCAATACCCCTTGTGGATATAGATAAAAAAAAAAAAAAACCCTCAACAAAGTCTTTGCAAACCAAACCCAACAGAATGTTAAAATAATTACACACCGTGATCAAGTGAAATTTATCCCAGAAATGCAAGGCTTTTACATATAGAAGTCAATCAATGTAATATATTAATAGAATGAAGAAAAAAACATACCATCATGTCAATACAGAAAAAGAATTTGAGAAAATCCAACACTCTTTCATGATTAAAAAAAAAAAAATTCAACAAAATAGGAATGAACAGAACTTTTTCAATCTGATTGAAGGCACTTTTGAAAAAGCTGTAGGCTGACATCATAATGGTGAAAGAGATTTCCTGCTAATATCAGGCAACAAGAAAAGAATGCCTGCTTTTGTTTCTTCTGTTCAAAGTTTTACAAGCAACATTGTCCTGAAAGTTTTAAACCTGAGAAATTAAGCAAGGAAAAAAAGAAATGAGGCTTCCACATTGGAAAGAAATAAGTAAATCTATCTTTCTTTGCAGATATCATGATCTTATATGTAGAACATCCTAAAGAATCCACTAAAAAACTATTAGGGTTAATAAGCAGTTTTAGTGAGGCTGCAGGATAAAAGACCAACACTCCAGAATCAGTTGTATTTCTATACATTAGCAATGAACAGTCCAAAAAGATTAAGAAAACAATTCAGTTTTCAGTAGCATCAAAAAGAATAAAATAGTAATAAATTTAACCAAACATGTGCAATACCTGTGCACTGAAAATATGAAACATTGCTGGAATTAAAGACTAAATGAATGGAAAAACATCCTATGTTCATGACTTGGAAGACTTAATATTGAAAGATGGAAGACCCAAAATGATCTACACATACAATGCAGTCTCCATGAAAATCCAGTGACCTTTTTTTTTTTTTTTTTTTGGTAGAAATGGGAAAGCTGATCCATAAATGTGTGTAGAATTGCAAGGGACCCTAGATACAAGCTTAAAACAGATTAAAATAATTTTGAAAAAGGACAAAGTTGGAGTACTCACAGTTCTCGTTTTCAAAGCATACTAGAAAGCTAAAGTAAAATAGTGTAGAACTGACATAAAGATAGACAGTTCTATTTCGTGGAATAGAACTGAGAGTCTAAAAATAAGCCAATAATACCTCTATAGCAATTGATTTTTGACAAGGATCCTAGATCATTCAATTGGCAAAGAATAGCTTCTTTAACAAATGGTGCTAGGACAATTGGATATCCATATGAAAAAGAATGAAGTTAGAGTCCTACCTCATACAATAGGGGGAAACATACTCAATCAAAATTAAAGTTTTTTGTGCATCAAAGGACACTATCAAGAAAGTGAAATGACAGCACATAGAATGAGAGAAAATATTTATAAATCATATGTTTGATAAAGGTCTAATATCCATAATATACAAAGAACACTTACAATTTAAGAACAAAAAGAAAAACAACTCAATTTAAAAATGGGTAAAGGACTTGAGTAGACATTTCTCCTGAGAAAATATGTGAATGACCAATAAACACATGAAAAGATGCTCAACATCTATGGTCATTAAAGAAATGCAAATTAAACCCACAATTAGATCCTACTTTATACCCACTAGGATGGCTTCTAAAAAAAAAAAAAAAAAAAAAAAAACCCAGAAAATAACAAATGTTATTGAGGATATGGAGGTATTGGAACCCTGGTATATTGTTGTGGGAATATTTAATGGTGCAGCTCCTGTGGAAAACAGTTTTACAGTTCCTCAAAAAGTTAAACACAGTACTATTACGTGAGCCGGTCATTCTACTCCTAGGGATATGCCCCAAAGAATGGAAAACAAGTATTTAAACAAACACTTGTATATGAATATAGTACTGGTCACAACAGCTAAAAGGTGGAAATGACCAAAATATTCATTATGAGATGAAGTAAGTAATGGAATACTAGTCAGCCATAAAAATGAATGAAGTCCTGGTACATGCTACAACATGCAAGAACAGCAAACACATTATGCTAAATGAAAGAAGCCAGACACAAAAGGCAACATATTGTATGCTTCCACTTATATGAAATGTCCAGAATAGATAAATCCATAGAGACAAAAGAGTAGTGGTGCCCAGGTCTTAGTATATGTGCTGCCGAAGCAAGCACTAGTGGTGCCCAGGTCTTGAGGACAGAGAGGATTTAATGAGTATGCTTAACAGGTGTAGGGTCTCCTTTGGAAGTGATTGAAATGTTTTGAAACTAGATAAATGGTGATGGCTGCACAACATTGTGAGTTTATTAAATGCCACCAAATTGTACAGTTTAAAATTATTAATTTTATGTTATATGAATTGCACCTTGAAAAATAAGTCATGGAGTTATGGTACCGCTACTGCAGAGGAGGCAGCATGACCTCAGCTGGGTCTCAGCTGAAGTTGGAGCCATGTCCCTCCCCCTGTTGTGGTAGAGAAGCTGGAGCTGCTTTTGGTTTGGGTGGTGGTCAGTAGCTACTTCACAGCCCTCTGGAGCCACTGTGTGGGAGTTTCCAAAAGCTGGGTGGGGCATGGTTGGGGGCAGTTCAGTCAAACCCCCAAGCAGGCTGCTGAGCCTGGTTTTGTGGTTGTGGACCACGCTGTGCTGGGTCTGTCATATGCTTGCTGCAGAGCTTAGGGCAAAATATCCCAAACCTTGAGAGGCTCAGCTCCTACAGCCAAGTAAGTAGTGTGAGTCTGTCAGTCTGAGGTCTCCATAGAGTTTCTCTTCACCAAATTTTTACCCCATTTCATCCATTTTAAGACCCAGCTCTTGACATTTTATCATCTGAAATCCAGAAGTCATAACAGTCCATGCTGTGTACTCTTACTGCAGCCTACACGTATCTTTTGGGAAAAAAATACTAGCTTCCAGTCAGTGAAATTGGTGTTAAAATGTGTAGTCATGTGTTAATTGATGTCTTTCTCCTCCCTCCTCATGGTGAGGTTCCATAAGGGGTGCTCCATAAATGTTGGCTGAATAAATGAGTAAACAAAATAACACTTTTTTTTTTTTTTTTAAAGTGAACCTTGGCACTACCACTTGATGGCTGTTTGACACAGGAAAGGCCATGTAACCCATTTAAGTTTCGGATCCGTAGTTCGCTAAATGTCTGTAATAACAACAGTGTCCTGCGGGGTGCGAGGCTGGAAAGAGGAACTGCCCACAGAGGCCTAAAGGACTTGTTCCAGAAGATTCCAGCCCAATAATAAAAAGGTAGAAACAGTGTTGATTTTTTTTTCTTTTATAACAATGTATAAATGGAAATACAAATGGAAATTTAGGGGGCGAATTAGGCAGATTTATCTGAAGCAGTCTACAGTTTAAAAAGCTTTATTTGATAAATGCCAATTAAGGCCAGCAAGGGTGGGGTGGGGTAATTCACTTTGGTTGATTGAAGATCAGACCATTTTGAGGTGTCTTTAGATCTCAATCATTCTTGAAGTCCTGGCTGTCTGCAGATGGCAGAAAGAAAAAACACATTAGAAACTAGAAATGTGCGACCTATCCCTCTTTCCCCTCTTGATCTCCCCCACCTGGTATTCCGACGCTTACGAGCAAGGTTCTCAGCCGGCTTTGCTGGCCTCTAATCCGGGTCCACCACCCCTCAGCACAGGTCTGTCCATGAAGGCTGGACCTTGCCAGCCGCCCGCCTCCCCAGCCCCGCCGATAGCGCATCGCGTCCACTGCGCGGCTGGCGAAGCTCGCCGAGCTCCGGGCCCGCCAGGCGAGGGCAGGCAGGGCGCGGCCACGCGGGGCCGGCGGGTTTGCGACAGGGAAACCCAAGTATACAAGGCGTGCTGAGGGCATGCCACACACAGTGCCAGGCGCCGGCCATGAAAATGCCGCCTGGCTTTGCGCCTATGGGCAGGCGTCTCTTGCACCTGGCGCGGAGCGACTCAGCGACACGCGTAAGCTGAGGGCCCCTGACGCGCCGGAGCGGCGGGGCAGTATAGGAACATTGGGCTCCAGTCCTGTCGTCTTTCTCCCCAGGGTCCTCCGCCCGAACCCGCTAATGACTTTCTAAAGTTTCTCAAACAAAATCCACGTTTCGACCTAACATCCTTTCTTTGACCTTCCTCTCTGACGGCGCTGTGTGCACGCTCCAGCCCTCCTTTCTGTCCTTGCAAACCGCTAAGCTTTGCCCTTGAGAGTGTGTAGGCTTCCAGTAGCTAATCTCTTTTCATCAGTCAGGCTCTCTGACCACTCTGAGCCCCTTTTCCCGTTCAGACTTCACTCGTATCCGTCACGTTGGTCTTAACAAACTAAATCTCTGAAAATACGTTTATTGCTTAAAGTACGTTTCCCAGAATGTAAGCTCTATGAGGGCAGGACTCCTGTTTTGTCTCATTTACTTTAAGTCCCATCTAAAATGGAGCTGATTATGTAGTTGGATAAAGAGGAGGAAGGAGGGAGGGAAGGTAGGGTAGGAAGAAAGGAGTGGACGGACTTGTGTGCTTGGGTCAGATCTCCTAGTTTTGCTTATAAAGGGTTACTCTCTCTGCCTGTGGCCCAGTTAGTCCTCTAATCCTTCTCGGCTCTTCAGCTCCTCCCCTTCTTGCTCCGCGCAACCGGCGCTATGATTGGTCCCTTGCCCTGCACTGTGTTCCGAGGCGAACTGCAGTTGGTGGAGAGGGAGGGTGGGCAGGCCAAAGGAGATCGAACTTCCCACGCCGAAAGCGCAAAACTCGCTGCATCTCTGGTCTAGGGTTCAGAGCGAGCTTCTTCCCTGTGAACTCTCAGGCCCCACTAAGGCCCAGAGGGTCTAGTGCCCCAATTCTGAGCCCAAATGGGATAGATCTTGGAATCTTCAAAGTCACGGTTTACCTTAAATATCGTGTTAATGTCATATATATAAAATAGTTCTCCCTTCAGAAAAAATCAGTAAAGTTGGTACTTCGGGCAAGTAGGAGTGGAGGTGGAGAAGGGGTGCCGCAAGAGAAGAAGGCAGCTTTGTGGTTGTAGAAGGAGAAGGCAAAGAGGATCACATGGCCATCTCCCTTTCTCAGCGATCTCTCTCGAAGAGAGGATAAAGCTTAAGAGAGGGTCTCTGTTTCTCAGAGAATGTAGCAAATCCCCGTGTACAGACTGCCAGGGTTGGAGAGGACTCTCTCCCTTGGGCAGCTCTGGAAAACAACACCGCATAGAGTAGAGGGTCAGATTTAGTCAAATTTTGCAGTAGAGTTGGGGGTGGTGGATTTCTGCCAGACGATGCCATACGCAAATGCTTGTGGGGTTGGTCCAGCTACCTGGGTATGCTAATGTAGAAACCGAGGGTAGCTGAATGGATGCTGCTGCCAGCTAATTTGGAGGAAGAGGGGCCACTAGACCCTAGTCTCCTGAGTCGTCAATATTACACAGTCTAGGGCTTGAGCCTGGGGGATGGTGAGTGTTTGCGGGAATAGGGGCACAATTTCTGGGATGGGCTTAAACTTGTGGAAATCCATCTAGGCTATTTCCTGTCCGCAGCCCAAGCGAGGCAGTCCATTGGGACAGTGGAATTGTCCTACAGGGTGGCAGCGTGAGAGCTGAGGCGAGACCCAAGACCTTGCTTTCCCGGAGCCAAGGTTCTTTTCTGAAAAAGAAGTGCAGTGGGTTGCAGAAGCTCTCTGAGTTTCAACTCTTAAATCTGCCACCTCACCTGCAGGACTTTCCGCAACCTCCGTATGGGAGTGGCTACCACCTTCGGTGGCCCCCGCGGCTGCGCCCAGGTACCGGGCGACAGCGCGGTGGCCCCGCTCCTCAGCCAGGTCCACGGGCAGGCGGCCCCAGGCATCGCGCACGTCCAGCTGCGCCCCGGCTCGGTGCAACACGAGGAGCGTGTCCAGGAAGCCCTCCCGGGCCGCGTCGTGCACAGGTCGGGTGAGAGTGATGGGGTCCGCGCAGTTGGGATTGGCGCCGTGGAGCAGCAGCAGCTCCGCCACGCGGGTGCTGCCCATCATCATGACCTGCCAGAGAGAGCAGAGTGGTCAGGGCAGGGATGGGTGGCAGGGGCAAGAAAAAAGAAGCTAGGGTGCCTGGGTGGCTCAGTGGGTTAAGCCTCTGCCTCCTGCCCAGGTCATGATCTCAGAGTCCAGGAATCAAGCCCCGCATGGGGCTCTCTGCTCAGCAGGAAGCCTGCTTCCCCCTCTCTCTCTGCCTGCTGCTCTGCCTACTTATGATCTCTCTCTGTCAAATAAATAAATAAAATCTTAAAAAAAAAAAAGAAAAAAGAAGCCATTTCTGAAGCCTACACCCCGTGCAGATGCGCAGTACAAGCCACAGGTATCTAGTTACTCTATTTGCTTTCAGTTACCAGCTCCCTTAGCCAATTCTCCTACTCATTCCATTTTTCTCTACACACTGAATTCCATTATATTCTCCAAACTTTTGCGGAGTTCCAACCACACACACAACATTGCCAGAGTCAAAGACAATAACAAAAGGGTGAGAGACAAACTGGCTTCTAAGCCTAACCTCCTGTATTTCCCCTCTCATTTTGATACAAAATTATGTAAGGCCCAGAGATTTTATATGGTTTTCTGCTGTATATCCAAGCCCAGAACATGGTAAATGTTAAAAAGTGAAAATGAAAACAACAACAGACCTTTAAATTCTTATAAAACTTTTAATTTACACTTAGCTTCCCAAAACGTTGAATTCTGACCAGCCCCCAAATTCCTTCTTGTGGTAAGCTAAATAATGCTCCCAAAGATGTCTACTAACTCACACTTGAAAGCTGTGACTATATTACCTTACATGGGAAAAGAGACTTGGCAGGTGTAATTAAATTAAGTATTTTGAAGAAGATTAATGTGAATTGTCAGGATGGGCCCAATGTAATCATAAGTTTCCTTATAAGAAGGTTACAGAAAAAAGAACTAAGAATGGAGGTCAGAGAGAAGATGCGGGGGCCATGAGCCAAGGAATGCTGATGGTCACTAGAAGCTGGAAAAGACAGGGAAACAGATTCCCCCTAGAACTTACAAAAAAAAAAAATGCAGCCCTATGGATCCATTTTAGACTATTGACCTCCAGAACTATAAGATGATAAATTTATGTTGGTTTGAGACACAAAAGTTGTGGTAATTTGTTACAGCAGAAATAGGAAACTAAGAAACTTCCCAAGTTTAACTCTGAGATCAAACAGGAGGTGCTCCCCTCATTTTGTTCATAAATCATCTTTGAAACAAAGTCATTACCAAAGGGGAATTTTTAAATAGTATCCACAATCACAGCAACCTTAAAATTTGAGTGTTGCATGGTGGATAGTAAAGATAATTCTTTTTTAGGTCAACCATTATTAGATGATATTAGCTAGACAACAATGACTGTATAAAGAAAAATTCCTTATTTTTAACTACATTCTACATTAAACATAAATTATTTAATTCCTCTAAACCAAGGAAACATATTAAGTTATACAATTGTGGTTGATTCTTGTCCTGGAGAAAGTGAAACTGATTTAATTTTCCAAAAGAGAGAAAATATAAGTGAACCAAATTACAGCTACAAAAATAAAAAATATTGCAGTGGTTTAGAACAATTCACTGTTTTAAAAGAAAAACTTAGTCCATTACTTATTTATGCAAGACTTCTAATAGATTATGGTGTCAGTTTCTAGAACAAAGGGACCACACCCAAGGATGCCATAATCTTGGGAGCTGTAAGGCAAGTGCCAGAGTTAGAAAACTCATGTCTAAAACCTCTTCTTAGAAGTCAACCTCCATGTCTATGTATAATGCAGATGAAAATATAATAGATGAAACATTTTTTGAATCCAATGAAATACTTCATCATTTAACTGATTTTACAGGTTTTCATTATATTTTTGCAGTATTGAAGTATGAAAGGAAACAACATTTAAATATTTTAATAACAATCCAAAGCAAAAAGAAAAAAATCAATTAAATGAATTTTTGTAGAGTGCTTAAATCCATTTGGTAAGATATTAACTTTTATTAAAATTTTCTGTAAACTAATTAGTTTTATATTAAACACAAGTTTGGTTAGAATTCTAAACCAAAATCATGACCCCTTTTCTCAATGTTCTTATCTTCCCTAGTTTAAAAAAAAATTATTAAAACTAATTATCCAATTCTCTTTTTTTCTTTTTGTATTTAAACACATGAAGTCTCTTCTAACATATTCCAGAACTTCAAGGTTAAACTCACAGTCTCCAAGCAAAATTTTAGGGAAATTAGTAATCATGCATGCGTTCTTTTTAAAGGACTCATGCTTTTCTTCTACCATCACACGATCTCTCTCCTCTCAAAATCTTTTCACACTTTAAATCCCAAATAATCTCAGACTTTAAGGCATTTTGGTTTTATTTTTATGTCTGTATTTTAAAGTATAAAATCTATCCTATGTAGCATAGTTTCAGGAAAGGAAGATTGACTTGTGAAATCCGTGAAGTTGCAGGTAGTTACTTTCCTTTGTCTTGTTATGCTGGAATTTGTGCATTAAGCCTTTGTTTCACATACATTTAATTTTTCAGAATCAGAAATCACTATCGACACTGGGAATAAAACTAGGGTGGTGACTGCCAAGAAGAAATCGTTTTTTTAGCCTGGATTCAGGAAGTTAGTGAACGCAAACAACCACCACAAATAATAAATATTCCCCACCTCCACTCCTACACACAACTGAAGTGAGGAGGGGAGAAACGACATTTTTGAACAGTGAGGAATTGAAAACTCTGTCCCAAATAAGTTAATCTATAGCAAGAAAGTAAAAAATAAGAAAAATAATAGGAGATACCTTCAAAATGGTAACTAAGTTGACGACATTATTTCAGGCAAGATCACACAAATGTTTTTCTTCATATATATCTGTCTGTCTGTGTTACCAAAATTCTTAGAACAAGCATATATTTTCCTTACTCGGTTAAAGTAAAAATAAACACAATATATAGTTGCTTCTGGATAATTTCAACTGATATTTATTCAATTTACACGGCAAAAGGTTTCCATTGCAATCTCCCCCCCCTCCCCACCACCACCACCAAAGGCAGATGATCAGCTCCCTTCGGGGATCTTTGAGTTCCGGGCTAGTGGGCCAAACAAACCTTCCATTCTTTAAAATCTTGCTTTTTACCGCAAACTTTCGCAACCGTGTATCAGATAAAGAACATACCTCGGACTGTATTAACACCAGTAGGTTCACGCCCCCCCCCCCGCCCCGATCTCCATACCACTCTAGGGATCTTCACCCCACGTGCCTCCTCATTTTGCTCTGTGGCTTCCTAAGCCCCCAGGACGTGGACACAGGGAGGTCTCGGCTCCAAAGTCCACCTGAGAACTCACCAAGAAGTCTCCCCTTCACGGAGAATCGAAACGCTGGCCTGGTTCCGACTCTCTTACAAACCTTGTGCTCCAAAGTCGCCCGCCGTTCCCCCTCCTCCGGCAGGGCGGCTGGCTCACCCACCTGAATCGGGCTCCGACCCTGGCGGTTCAGCGCGTTGGGCTGCACCCCGGCCTCGAGCAGCGCCCGCACCTCGTCGGCCCGGCCCCGGGCTGCGGCCGTGGCTAGTCTGTCTGCGGAGGGCTCCATGCTGCTCCCCAGCGCTTGCCCCCCTGGCTGGCTCCCTCCCTCCTTCCCTCCCCTCCGCCGCACTCGGGCGCCAGTGGCCCGCCCCAGCCTCGCGTGACCAGCCCGCCCCTCCTCTCTCCACCTCCGGGACCGGCGGAAGCCACCCCCCGACTCTTGCCCCCTGCGGGAGTCTTCCCATCCCGGAGAGCGCCGTTCTGCTCCCCCGAGGAGGCGCCCTTAGCTCTGAACTCGCTGTGAACGTGAAGCCCGCCCCCCTCGCCCGAAGTCGCCCCACGCGGGGCCTCTGCTGTCCGGGCTTGCCCGGGAGGCTGGCGCCGGGAGCGTGACAAAGCCGTTGGGGGAGGGAGCCCGGGGCCCGCCGCCGCCGCCCCCACCCCGCGTCCCCCGCCCTCCTCCCGGGCGCTGTGCTCCCCCTGCCCCCAGCTTAGACGCTCGAGGTCTCAGAGCGAGTTCAGTGGGTTAAGGCGACTTTGCTCTCCTGTTTCCTTCCTCCCCTGCACAACCTCTCGCATTTGAAAGCCGCACAGGATTCCTAACCGCTGATTTCGAACTAGGGTGTTTGATGTCGTAGGCAAAGCATCGCTTCCTCTTTTAATCAGGAGAAACAGCAAACTCCTGGTGATCAGGGCCCTGCTGGTGTCACTGTGAGGCTTCCCTACTCTTAGATAACTCTCCCCCTTCTACCGTTCAACACCTGGGTTCACGTGCTGAGTCCACCATGCTAAAAATCCTTGCTCAAACATTCATTTGAGGGAGTTTGCCCACCTGCCAGCAGCCTGTCCACACACACACACACACACACACACACCCCTGTGAAATGGATGACGAGGGCGAAGGTTTCCCAAACTTGTGCAATGCCCAGTACTAGTGCTTTGTACAGGGGCTGGTTCAGAGAAGATGAGGTCTATTTTAACAGAGATGATGGAGATTTCTGCCAACAGGAAGATAGAAAGCTGGCGAGAGAGTTATTGGGCTAACAGACTCTGTTCTTAATAAATAATTACTCCTAGACAAGAAAAAAGGTGCTCAGAGCTCTAGAAACAGAGTTGCTCAGTGAGTCAGAGTCTATCACATTCACTTCGTGTCCAGAGCCTCCCGGGAGAACAGCGGAAAGGCGCTCTCCCCCATTGGAAAGACTCCCGCTCCTCTCCCGCACCCCCCCCCCGCACCCCGCCATCTCTTTTTCCTACTGGAAAAACCTCACAGTTATCTTAGTTATTAAATGGGAGGCTACGAATCGTCCCTACTTCATTGGGCTGTTGTGAGTTTTAAATGAATTGATGAACATATTTAGAACAGCGTGGCACATCTTAAGCTAATACCTTAGCTCTTAAATTTTACATTTTGAGGATTCTCTTACAGTCTTGCTGTGAGGCACAGAGAATAAATGCTTTGGATAGAATTATGAATATTATATGAAAGGAAAGGCCAAGAAGACCCTAATCACTGAAAAGATAAAGGACACCCTCCACCGCCCTCATATTTAATGAAAAGTTAAACAGAACTAAGAGCAAAAGAAAATCCAGCATGGTTCCAATTTTACCTGTGGTTATTACTTTTTCTTGTGGCTAATATATTTTTAAATATATATTATTTTTTAAAATTGGATCGCTCAGGCTTTGCTGATGCCTTAAAGCACATGCTTAATCTTTACTAGATAACACAGCCTACTCAAAATTTATGTTTCAATCCCTGGTTGACTTCTCTTCAAGCCCCCAAAACATTTTCAATTGCTGTTAGTTCAAGCAAAACATGGAGTTTTGAAATGATACCCACTGGGGAACCTGGGTGGCTCAGCTAATTAAGTGTCTGCCTTCAGCTCAGGTCATGATCCCAGGGTCCTGGGATAGAGCCCCAAGTCTAGTCGGGCTTCCTGCTCAGTGGGGAGTCTGCCTCTCCCTCTGCTCCTCACCCTGCTCGCTTGTGCTCTCTCTTTCAAATAAATAAATAAAACCTTTTAAAAAAATAAAATGAGGGGCGCCTGGATGGCTCAGTGGGTTAAAGCCTCTGCCTTCAGCTCAGGTCATGATCTCAAGGTCCTGAGATCAAGCCCTGCATCAGGCTGTCTGCTCATCAGGGAGCCTGCTTCCTCCTCTCTCTCTCTCTCTGCTTGCCTCTCAGCCTACTTGTGATCTCTGTCTGTCAAATAAATAAATAAATAAATAAATCTTTTAAAATAAATAAATAAATAAAATGATGTCACTTAAGGGACATCTGGCTGCCTCTGTTGGTAGAGAATATGATTGTTGATTGCTAGCTTATGAGTTTGAGTCCCCATTGGGCTTAGAGATTACTTAAAAAAAATTAAATGATGCCAGTTAAAACACTTATGGGATGTAAAATCTGTTTTAAAAATATGAATTGTTGTACTTTCTACATTTTCTTCCAGGCACCTCCCAGTAATCTGGGCAACAATGGTGTGGGAAATTCAAACTGTGATTGAGAACATAAAATTCTTTAACATAGTTTAAGGTATGGTATGACAGGGAAGGGGGAAATAGTGGTTGTGGTATTGGGAAGGAGGGAACAGATTTCCCTTATAATGTGTCTGGCTTTAAGACCCGTATCAATATTAGCTTCCATCACTAAAATAATGGCTCTTAATCTTGGAGCAGGGGGAGTAGGCCTTTGATAATCTGTTGAAAGCTATAGACCATCTCCTCAAAAAATAAAGTATGCCATAATTTTTTAAACTAGTGTGTTCAGTTACATATGTATTTTTAAAAAGATTTATATGTTTACTTTAGAGAGAAAGAGCTCCCTCCAGCACAGGCAAGCAAGGGGTGAGGTGGGGCACAGGGAGAAGGAGAGAGAATCTCAAGCAGTTTCCTTGTTGAGCTGAGGGGAGAGATGCTTGATCTCGTGACCCTGAGATCATGATTTGAGCTGAAATCAAGAGTCAGATGCTGAACTGACTGAGCCACTGAGGTAACACTATTTGCACATGTATTTCTGAATATAACTTTCAGGGAATTCAGAAGTTCTTCTAAAACTCACCTATTGATTCCTATTTGAGAACTCATTAAACTCTTATGCAATATATTTGACTACTGTTGTTGAAGGAAATGCATGAGGGAACCAAATAAAACCACCCTTGGATGAATTATATACAGACATGGAAGCTGACTTTTTTCAAGAACAGGTTTTAGACAGGTATATCCTAGCTCTGACACCTGCAGTAGAGCTCCCAAAAGATTATGGCATCCTTGGGTGTGGCTCCTTAGTTCTAGAAATTGATCCCATACTGCATTAGAAATCTTGTGTAAATAAGTGGTTAATAATAGTGTAAAACTTTCTTGGTTTTTCTTTTAAAGAACCTACCATACTCCCAACTTACTCTTCCATATCAGCTCAGACCTGAGGGCCAGTACCTTAGAAGAAATAAAATATAAATCCCAGGATCCTGGTGCTGGTTATTCCAGCCTCAGATTGCCCGGGACTCATAATAGATTTCACAGGTTGATTAAATGAGATGATGAAGCCAAAGAACTTTATGAATCCTAAACTTTGTTCCATATTGATATTATCATTCCCAAACTTAATTTTCCTCCTCCTTGAGAATGTCATGGCCTTATTTAGGTTTGTGCTCCCTTGGCAGTTTTGCAAATCTATGCTATGAAATTTTAACTTAGTTCAATTTTGATCTGTTTTTTAAGAAAAAGTGTAACACTCGTTCATTCATTCAACAAACTCAGAGGCTAAGGGTGGGGCGTGATGGCAGTGGGGTGTTAAACATATGGGTTCTAGAGTAGGGCTGCTTGAGTTCAAAACTGTACTTTTCATTTAAGGCTCTATAACTTTGAACAAAGTTATTGCATCTAGGTTTGTTTTCCCATCCGTATATATGAGATAATAATAGTACTTGCTTCAAACTGTTGTTGTAGGTATTAAATTGGCATTACATGTAATGTGTGTTGAAGAGCAAAGGGAAGCAGAGGATGACACAAGAAAATGAAAAGGGAACCAAACTTCTGGTGGCTTGGGCAGAGGCTGCATGGATGCTGAAAGCAGACCCAAACCTTGGAGAGAGGCCTCGGAGTACAAAGACAATAAAAGGAGGAGAAAGATGTTCCAAGCAGAGGTGAGAGCATGGGAAAAGGCATAAAATTTGGGACCACTGAAAATCATTCACTGGGATATATGGTAAGAAGCTGGAGATATAAACTCCTGGAAAAAGAGCCTTGCAAAGGAGCCTGGGAAGGGCAGCTCAGATTGTCAGAAGGAAAACCAGGGATGTATGGGATGGCAAGGAAGTGGGGGACACTATGTGGACTGTTTTTCCCCAGCTTAGCCGTGATAGTTTATAGCAATATAGTGTGACGGGAGGTAGGTGGAAGGGTGGAGAGGACCTATGCACTCACAAGAAAAGGTGCCAGGTGAAGAGAAGGACAGCTAGAAGGGAAAAAAGGGCAGTTGAGGACCCAGGAAAGATAAGGTGTTTCTGAGGACCCGAGGTCCCTAAAAAGTCAGGAAGAAAAGGAATACAAGGCACAGGGAGTGGTCATAAATTTGGACACAGAAGATATAGCTAGATTTGAGAAAGGAGAAAAGGTCAGGGTGGGGAGGAAGTTGAAGCACTTCCTTTCATGAACGAAGAGGCTGGCTTGTTTGCAGTGAGGATAAGATGGTGGGTTAGGAAGTGAGAGTAAATGGCATATCTTTATCAGGGCTAGTATCCAAAATATATAAAGAACTTAGCAAATGCAATTACCCCCCAACAAAAAAAAAAAAACAAATAATCCACTTAAAAAATGGGCAGAAGACATGAATAGCCATTTCTCCAAAGAAGACATATGGATGGCCACAGACACATGAAAAGATGCTCAACCTCACTCATCATCACGGAAATGCAAATCAAAACTACAATGAGATATCGTCTCACACCTGTCAGAATGACTAAAATTTTTAAAAAGATTTTATGTATTTGACAGAGAGAGCAGCAGAGGGCAAGAGAAGCAGACTCCCTGCTGAGCAGGGAGCCTGGTGTGGGACTTGGTGCCAGGATCCCAGGATCATAACCTGAGCTGAAGGCAGACGCTTAACTGACTGAGCCACCCAGGCGCCCCAGAATGGCTAAAATTAACA